TGTCCATGAAGACCAATACGTGGTGGCATGTCACCCGGCTGTGAAAGTGACAAAGGGCTAGGTGGATGGCCTGTAGTTCGAGCCAATTTATGTTGTGCCGGAGGTCTGAGTTGGACCAACGGCCCTGTGCCCACTGTGACCGAAGGTGTGCTCCCCAACCGAACAGGCTAGCCTCTGTCATGAACACTATCCGGTCCGGCTCCTTGAAACCTGACCCTCTGACATGGCTGGTGACAGCCACCACCTGAGGGAGCGTAACACCTGATGTGGGAATCTTACCCTTTGTTGGGAGGCACTGAGGTTCTGTCTCTGGAAAGGGAGCATGAACCATTGTTGTTTCCTGGAGTGCAGCCTGGACCACAGGACGATTGCTATGGCTGAGATCATCTTTCCTAACAATTGGGAGAGACTGGCCAACGTTACTGACCGCCCCCTGCGTATCTGGAGGACTGATTCCCTTATACTGTCCCGGCATTCTTGAGATAAGTACACCCGGCACTCCACCGTGTCTATGATGGCCCCGAAATGTAACAGCCTTATTGTGGGGACCAAATGGCTCTTGGGAAAGTTTACCGAGAACCCGTGGTCCTGGAGCAGCTTTGCCACCAGTATGAGGTCCGACTTAGCAGACTGGGTGGACAATGACTGGATTAATATGTCGTCCAGACAGCATTGGACTCTGACTGGTATCATCCTTAAATGAGCTGCCAGAACCGCCAGGATTTTGGTAAACACCCTGGGAGTCGATGATAGGCCAAATGGGAGTGCCCTTACTGAAAGCGACGTCCCTTGTACGCAAACCGTAGAAACCGTTGGTGGGCCAGAGGGATAGGGATATGGAGGTACGCCCCCGTGAGGTCGATAGACGTCAGGAGATCCCCCTTTCTTATGCTTCCCAAGATGGAGCGGAGCATTTCCATCTTGAATTTGCGGTATGCAAGATGAAAATTCAAGCCCTTGAGGTCTAAAATGGCTCTCCATCCCCCCGACGCCTTGGGAACAACGAAGAGGATGGAGTAAAATCCCTGGCCTCTCTGGCCCAGCGGTACCGGTTCTATGGCCCGTATGTGTAATAAATGTTGAATGGCTTCGTTCATCAGCCTTTTGTTTGTTCGGTTCCGAGGGTATGGACAAGAGAGGAACTGATTTGGGGGGGGGGGTTGGAGATGAACTCCAGAGAAAGACCGTGACGAATGGTGTTGAGCACCCATGCATCCGTGGTGGTGGCCTCCCACTGGTGGGCAAATAGAGTGTCTGCCACCTATGGGAGGTACTGATGGAGAGTCACCTGGAGCGGCGGAATGGCCTGCTGTTCCCTCAAAAGGGACGCTTATACCCTGAGACTGTTGCCTTGGTCTGGGAGTTTGCCTATCAGGCTGTCTTTCCTGCCTATCTTGCTTGGCCGGGAAGGGGTGGAAGGGCTGGGTGTAATTATATCTAGCTCCTGCACGAAAGGACTGTCTTCGTGGATAATAATTGGAGCGTTTGTCCAAGTTTTTGAGGAGATGATTAAGGACCTTGCGCTTGTCCTTGTTTTCAGTTATGTAGGGATTTAGGGCGTCCCCAAATAATTTACCTCCCTGATATGGAGCAGCTGCCAGCTTCCACTTGTGTGCGGATATCCTCTGCTGGGATCTGAGCTTGAAGCTGCCGGAGCCAGCAGAGGGCGGCCCTGTTGAAAAAGGAGGTGGAGGTTGCAGCCCTGATCGCCCATGCAGCCGCTTGGTGCGTTCTGCGATAAGTTGATTCGCACTTGCGATCCTCAGCTTTAAGGGCCTCAGAAAAATCCCCGGAAATGGCAGTGGCTGATACTAGGGGACCTAAGGGCTCATCCACAGCCGGTACCTCCAGAGCCTTCTCCAAATTCTTGGCAACATTGTACAATTTCTTGTCAGTGTTACCCGGGATGGGAAGAGAAGCCGGTGATGTCCACTGTTTCCGGATCGCATTCAGAAACAGAGAAGGACAAGGGATGTGATGTTGCGCTGCGACTGGTTCAACGAAGTTCAGGTCTGCCTCCGACTCCAGGGGAACGGGAGTTGTTGTTGCCGAAGGTTTAGGCCCAAGATGGGCGGTGGATGTGGCCTTACGTAGTAAGGTGATAAAGAAAGAAGGATTAAAGAGACCACTGAAAGAAGGTGCCTCCGGAGGAACTTCCTCCTCCTCAGACATTGGGATCTCCTGTTCTGTGGCGAGTTGATGGAGGTAAGAATCCTCAGAAACTGGTGACCCAGATGGAGAGGAAGGACTATAATAGACTTCAGTCCCCGGTTGTTGGATAGGACAGGGAATGGTAGTCACTGGCCTGGAAGCCTGAGCCCTGGCGTCAAGGGCTCGGTCTACCACTTGTGCGATCAGTAAGGCTAGGCAGTCCTCCGTAGGGAAGGGAGCCGACTCGCTAGGGCAGAGTCCTGCTGCAGTGGGGATAAATGTGGCCACGGGAGCCCCTTGAGGAACCCATGCAGCAGAAGCTTGGGAAGCGGAAGGAAACTCGCCTGTCCCGTACTGCGCAGGGGAATGTAAGGATTCCCCCATTGACCAGATCCCCAGAGGGGAGGTTGGAGCCCCCCAGGGGTAAGTCCAAGGCTAACCCTTAGGTCTGAGGTGTCTCCAACCTGGCTCTTTTCTGCGCCTTGGAGAACTCCTTTTCTAAGGCTTGGTGTCTCCGGTTGGCCTGCTTGTCTGTTCTTTTGGAAGTTTTGGCGGTAGGTCTGATCTTAGTTTTGGCCGCTGTCTGAACAATGCCCTCCAGACCAGGTGGACCCGATGAGGATGGCAAGGCTCCCTTTGAGGTAAGAGTAGAATCCTCCATTCTCCGATAGCATAGGAACACAATAGGGGGCTCCTGGTATCTGGAGAGTATTACATCCTGGGTAAGGACAGACATACTACAGGGGACGTCTGGAACCCAGGTACAGCCCTTGCATGGATAAGGACAGGCACACAATTGGGGACGCCTGGAATCCAACTATGGCTGTGCACAGATAAGGACAGACACATTACTGGGGGTGCCTGGAATCCGGCCTGAAGTACTGTGGATAAGGACAGGCACACTACAGGGGGCGCCTGGAATCCAAGTATAGTTTTGCTCAGATAAGGACAGACACACTACTGGGGGTGCCTGGAATCCGAGTGGAGCCGAATTGTGTAGATAATGACAAGTAGGGACCAGGAGACACCAAACCCTGAAAGGCAAAAAGACTGGATGTTCAAAAACATCCAGTCAGGACTGAACAGGAGTAGAAGTGAGGTCTAGAGAGGCCTGCTGGTAGTAGGCCTCAGTTGGGAAAAGGGCCTATCTTGATTGCAAAATGGTGGTCGTCTATAAACGGAGGCCTTATTAAGTACAGCGCAAAATGGCGCCTGTCTACAAAAAAACGGTCTGACTGATGCCGGGCCTGCTCTGGCTGCGCCCACTTTCTCTGAATACCTCCCCTGGCAAGAGCCCCCGCTTAAAATGCCAATCTCAGTGGCGGGAAGGAAGGATCCCCTTCCTCCTGCGTCCCCCGAGTTCGAGAGGACCTGCTATTCCTTGGGAGGTTTAATATCCCACACGGCCAAAATGGCAGCCGCGCATGAGGGCAGACTGACAAGAGCAATGCTGATCCAAAAAAGTTCAGCCTACAAGAGGAGTAACGCAACCGAAGCGAGAAGGAAAAAAAGTGGCCCCTTTCTGTCTCCAATCAACCGCTTGCCAGCTGATCGGCGCTGCCTCCGTGCGCTCGTCGCATCTCCTCCCGGCAAAATTATGATCGTGAACAACTCGACGCAGCCGGCAGCAGCTACAAAAAGAAAAAACGCACCGCACAATTTTAAAGAGATCTAGGGCTCGTGAGGGCCTTCCCTGTAAAGCTCCTGACATGGAAATAGCCACAGGAGCTGCTGCTGCAAGCTCCAATGGGATCCTGAATTCCCTCCCCCCCCCACGTTTGGGTGAGACCTAACGGCTGTTAGTCCCCTGTCCGATCAGGTATTGGAGATAAGGGGAGGATTAAGGAAGGGGGAAAAAAGGAGAGAGGAAGGAGCCCCCTTCCCCCAATACAAGCTATTTGTATTACCCCCCCCCCCAATACAGAAGATTAGGAACAAGTTCCAAGTTCTTGAAAGGGAGAGGAATAGAGATTTTGGCAATGGTAGGCCAAATTTTGTGCTAAATACAGCACAACAGAGCTACTGGAGAAGGGAAAATGCACCAATGAACTATACCTGCCTAAGAGCCAAACTTGCACGTCTGTCCTGGGCAAGATCAAGTCAAGACTGGGATCTCTATGGTCCAGGACGGGCGTGGCAACTTTGGCTGACTTGATCTGATTGGGCAGAAATACAGTCTAAACCTATTGGTGGATTCTCCATCTCCAGTGCTGGAGAAACAAAAGATCAAGAACTATTTCTCATTAACAACAGGGGGGGGGAATACAAATTTAAGCAATACTTCCAAGACTAAAAACAACCAAATAAGACAGGCTTTTGAATTTTTCAAGAACAAGTACTATGATTTGATAGAAAGAAAAAAAAGAGCAGGTGGATGTCGGTTAACCTGACGATAAAATAGACAATCGTTTTAAAAAGCAGTAACGGACAAACAAGAGAGGGAGGAAAATGGTTAGATGTTTAAAAAAATGAAGATGGCAGGCATGGTTCTGAGACTGCAGATTCACAAGGATCAGTCTCACCTAGGTGACAAGTTCTTAGGACTACCTTTCAAACAGCTGAAAGAATTGCCTTCTATTTTGGAGAATATATTGTCAGTTATTAGTCATATCTGTCTTTATTCCTCCTAAAATAAATTATCAGGTGCAGCTTTTGCACCTTCCACTCCTGCCTCAGCACACTTCCATTTGGACCTAGCAACTAACTTTTCCCAACTTTCTATCATTGCTCTTAGGAGGGCCTCCCAAAAACACAAGCCAACTGAACCCCAGACAGGTCAACCAGCTGCCCTGAAAACGTGCATTCCCACCAACCTTCCATGTGCAAGCAGCAATGTGAGTGCAGCTGACCTGTCAGAGACACAATCTGCCCTCCGGCTGTAGCTGGAAATCGGAAGACTGTCTGTTGTGCCTGCTGCAGCTGTCCAGGTATGCCTACGACCGCCGCCTGGCCCTGCTGGCTGGAGAGGGCCAGCGAGTGCGGCTGTAAGTGAGTGAGAGGAATGGTAGGGGTCCCAGGAGGGAGTGGAGCACCTGCTGGAAGGAGGGAGAAAAAAAGGCTTTTTATCAGGGCCAGATGTTTTTAAAATCTCCTTCATTCCCTCTTGGATTCTTGTTAATCTCTCCTCCTAAATTATTATCATATGCAGCCTTCTTCCAATCTTATGCCTTCAGTTGGGTTGTGACTATGAGTTCGAGAATTCCGAGTGGAATTCTAGAAGACGGAATATCCAGTTGAGGGTGGCTGCTATACATCTTTCATGGGAGGAAGAGGAGGGAAGGCGTTGACCAAGCTCCATGTCCCAGTTCCAAACCCTACAATTCTCACAATCAGAAATGTCAAAGTGGGACTTTCCATTTCCTCAAAGGAATGAGGAGGCTGGCAGCAGAGACAGCAACACTACCGTTTCCCTAAAACTTCCTGTTCTCCTGGTAGAACCTGTCCCTAGAGTAGCTATTATCCTGGCCTCAGCCATACTCCTTTATGAAACAATCATATTTAAGAGAATGCAGTTTCGGCATTTCCATTCCAGCCTCTCACAAGTCAAAGAAGGAGCAAGGTCTAGCGTGCTCAGTGTAATTGCAGAAGAATCAGCAACTATCGCAAAAACTCTTCAACTGGCAAAAAAGAAACTGACCTGACATGAGAGTAAAGCCGGTAGGTATCTGCATTAGTCCTCCAGAGGCCACTGCGCTGCTTCCAGTGGTTTTCAGCACTGTTCCGTTGGCACTGGTGACTGTACTGGGGCTGACACTGGCAGAGACTGGTGCTAAGTAGTTAGTAATGGGGAACGAGGGCCCACTGCTGACCTGCATGGATGTGGATGTTGTGGATGCTGTCTGGATGGTGGACGTCGTCCCTGGGAGGTTGGTGACAGTGAATGCTGGCTTCAGTGAGTCCTGCAAAAGAAGCGCAAGTAGGAAGAGCCAAGCCCAAACTGAGTATACTGCCCAGAGCTGAATACAGCCTTTCCCCTTCTGACTATCTGGTAGTATAGTATATCCACATCTAAAAATAAAAGATAACATGTATAGGTCAATAAGCTCTCAAAATCACCATACTATTCCACATGTGGTTGAATTCAATTCCCATGCTACTGTTTTCTCCCAATTCTAAACCATGGATTCTTCCTTAATATTTCACAATGGTTGAGTTGCATCAGCAGTCTAACCAAACACTTTCTTGAGGAGGCAACAAAGGCCTAAGCAACAGACTTATTCAGTCTGCTTAGGCAGGCCCAACTTACATTAATTCTAAGACCCAATGGCAGCAAGGACTTTGACCAGGGAATTATTTCTTAAAATTTCACTTGGACATGCTTCCTGTAACTTGTCCATGATTCTATCATATATCCTGTCTTCTAGAAATAACATAGATTGTGTCTTTCTATATTATCCACTTCAGAATTGGCAAATGTTCTCATATCCATTTTGAATATTTTTTCCTCAAGGCTAAACTTACCCATTTTTCTCAATCTCTGGTCAAAGAATCATATTTCTGGTCTTTTGAGAATATTTATTGACCTTCTCTTAATCTCTTTCAGGCTGTCTGAATCCTTCTTAAATTATGGTATGCAGCACTCAAGATTTACCTGGTGCAGGTCTTTTCGATGATGCAATCTTTTCATTTTGGTCTCTCAATATCTTGCCCTAATCCCTTCACAGTTAACCAGTATTCTGCCGCTACAATCATTCACACAACCCTGATTACATGATAACTATTCTTTAAATCCTTATACTAATTTCCTATATGTTCTACTTCACTTCCAAGTTACTTGCTCAGCTTTTATATGATATTCACATTTTCAAACCTAGAAAACTTTGAGATTTTGGTATCGCCAATGATTTGGTTTACTCCACTCCTAAGATTAACAACAAATCTGCTTTCTGTAGAACCAAAGTTTAGTCTTCAAATTTATGCTTTTTTGCTCTGAGTTTCATGTCATTAATTCATATTGGTCAATATGTAATGCACAAACTGAATGCAAAGAAATTAAAAGGACAATGTTGCTTTTTTGCCATCGGTGCTTTTCCATGAAAATCTAATAAGATTAGATTTTGTAATAATATGAACAAATGCATCTCAATGCACATAATGCCATTCACCTTCAGTATTTGAGATTGCTCAGTTTTTGTTCATTAATAATCCGAAACATCCAATAGTTCAAACTGAGGATTGTTTATACTCACTATCTTGCATGATACTATTAGCTTTCCTGGAAGAGAGGTCTGGAGAATAATTTGAAGGGCTATCTCTCCAAGTACTCAGAGAAAGTTTTTGTTTTTGTTTTATAAAAATACAAAGCTATCCATTTTATCAGCTCATTTGAGTGGGAGTTGTTTTGCTACAAATAGCTTATCACTTACTATAACTAAATTTTGTCTAGAAGCAAGGAAGCAACTGTTTAATTCAGTGTTATCTTTAATTTTCGGTCAATTAGTTATTTAAGTTTGTGAATGACTGTTAATTGATTGGTAAATTTACTGAGAAGCTTTTTGTGACTAGATCCATAAACTGAACTGACTATAAATTCCCACTGTAAGTTCCATGCTATAAAGAGTCATGAATAGTCATGGCACTATACAAATATGTAACTCTACAGAATGGACATTTTTAATCTGCAAATTTTATCTCTAAGTGATAGCTTTCCCAGAGATATCAGGTTCAGGTAGCATGACCTCTGAGTTACACATCCCATGAGGCCATAATGTAATGTTGATTTAGCATTTCATGTGATCTGAGCCATTCTGGCTATGATTATATGATTATATGGCTTGGTACTATATATGAATTCGGGAAACTATAGCCTATTCAAAAACCAAAGCTTAAGCAAACCATAGCATAAAACGTGAACCATGCTATTGTGCTTTAGGATACTAAGTCACATGCTAGATCTTCCAGGATTTGCATAACAACTCTTAAGTGGGATAGAGAGGCCACTGAGTACTCTGGAAACTCTCTGGATCTATTGGATGCTTGAGATACACTCTTTAAACTCTGACAGCCCTAGTGGTGCAGTGGTTAGAATGCAGCATTGCAGACAAACTGCCCACAGTCTGGGGTTTGATCCTGATGGGGTTCAAGGTTGGCTCAGCCTTCCATCCTTCTGAGGTCAGTAAAATGAGGACCCAGATTGCGGAAGTCAATATACAAATGCATTGTAAATCATCCAATGAGTCCTGTAAAGTGGTATATAAGTCTAGGTTCTATTGCTAACTGCTATTGCTATACAGGTCCCATTAATTAATCTTAGCTGGATTAGGAAGTGATCTGATCAAAGTAAATGGGTAAAAGTAATGCCCTCCATATTCAGATAAACCGAGATCTAGCATGTGACCACATGGATGTGCTGGATTAGAAATCACTTGGAACAAGCCACCTTTATCATAGAGACAGTGAATTCTATGGCTCTCCCAGATCTACACTTAAGTTGTTCAATACCAAAAATTATGGTTACTCAAACCTGGAATCCCTATCAAAGAGGCCAGAGAATGAGCCAACCAGAAAGATATCCAGCATGCCTATTAAAATGGAGGTATTTAGATCATGTCACATCCTACTACAGACTTGATGGCCTCAATGGCCTCTTCCAAATCTGTGATTCTAAACAGATATAAAGATCAAATTATATATTTAATTACATTTCTTTCAAAATCTAATTAAATGTATAATTTTAAAAAGTAGGGATTGCCAAGCTACTATCTGTATGGAAATGGACCATTGGAAGGGCAGTGATGTTTCCATACAGCAAAGACTGGACAGAGAGGCACAGTGCACCAGTGTTTTCTTTGTACTCAAAATGCATTAAGTTTCCCTTCTCTGCAACTTTGATTGCTTAGTGCAGTGTTTCCCAAACTTGACAATTTTAAGGCATGTGGACTTCAACTCCCAGAATTCCACAGCCAGCAACGTGGCTTAGTGTTCTAGGTTCAATTTTCAACTGTCTTATAACAATATTCTCAAAAGAAGTATCTGACAAGTCCCCATATGAGTAAAAATAACCATCTGCTTACATGAGAAATACAGTGGACTAATTCTGAGTGAAGGCCAGTTCTGTTTGTTTTATTTACCTAAAACATTTAAATAGCTACCCATGTTCTAACTGACCCTGGGCAGCTCCCAATCAAACGTTTTGATACTTCAGGACAGAGTTCCAGGCACTTGGAATCAAGCATATTTCACTTGCATAGTCCTCTCCTGGATTAGTCTCTTGATAAAAAGTTCTTTTAAAAAACATTTTTTGGGAAAAAAGTATACATACGGTAATCATGTTTTTAAGGGCTATTAAACCAGAGAAAATGCTGTCTTCTGTGGTTAGAATAGCTATTTCTGTTTGAATTCTGTAGTTGCAATATCTTAACATGTCTGGGGAGGGTTAATGTCTTGTCATTAATGTTTGACAAGGGGGGGGGGAGGCTGCTGCCAGCCTCCCCCCCCCCCCCTAACTCCCAGCACTACTATGTAGATTCAGCCGGCAGGCACTCCCATGTGCTTCTCCAGGCTCCTGACCTGACACACTGCCAAAAACAAGGAATTCACAGCTCAACTAACATCTAAAAAAGGAAAGGCAGACAACAAATCCAGAACACCCTTCCTGCTGCATAGAGGTGGGGGAAGGCGGGATGGGGAGAGACGGGGAGAGCCAGCCAGCAATTGCCTACCCCTCCGCTATTCTCCAGCTCTGGCACCAAGAACTGTGTAGATGGAATTAGGATGAGCTTGTGATAATGGTGCCACAGTTCAGCAAATTAACTTTCCATTATCTCAGCTGCAGCCTCCTTCTCATTGCAGAGGACAGACCTATTGTTAAGGAGCAAGCCAGACCAGCCACATGACAAGGCCCCTTGCTTTCTTAACCTGAGGGATCACAGGATTTCTCCTAGCCCTAGGCAGGATGCATCTAACTTAGATCTGACAATGGGTCTGCTGGACCTGGAGAGTATAGTATAGTAAATTGTATTTTTCTTAGTAAATTTTATTTTCTTAGCACTAGAAGACCTTGAACAAGCCAAAGTACATAGTATTTATACAGGTTTCCACCAATCTGCTTTGGACCTAGTTGTCCTCTCTATCTCCTTCTCCATCCTGCCATGTCTGCTCATTATCTATTAGCAGTTTTTCAATCATCAGCACTTTCTTATCAGCAATTGAACTAACAGCAATTGGACTTCCTTTTTAATTAAATATCAAGTAGAGTTACACTGTGACAGTTGTTTTGTTCTTTACATTCTATTCATCCCTTACATTCCTTTGGCTTTAGAAAGTTCTCTCCCTTAGAACCATCCATTCTGATCTAGTCCTAATTGGCTTGAACCAAGCTGGTTGAGTGAATATGGAGACAAAGCTGGAATGGTGAGTACATAAAGAATAACAGAACTGCAGAAAAGACACAAAAGTAAATGTTATAAGTTCAATGACAGTAACTATCAATTGGCACAACCAATTTAGGGATGAAAGTTGGGTTATTCAAGATTTATCTCAATTCCAATGTCATGTGAAGGACCCTTGAGTTGAGTTTTCTAACTGATAACAGAACTAACAGTGGGTTTAGGGGCTGTTGGGTGGTTTTTTGTTTTGGTCTTCTGGACATTCAGTTCAACCCCTAGGTCAACCTGTGTTGACATAGGCACCACAATGCTCTATAAGTCTGAAATTCCCAATGAAGTGGAACTATAGACCTTTTCTAGTATTTTAGGATTAATGTCTGAAAGCCTGCTGCAAGTCTGCAATACCCCCATTCCACTCCAAAGTCCTGCCCTACTGATTCCCTCTTACCTTCGGTGTATTTCCCTCAATCAAAGATTTTATGAGCTATTAAAATTCTCAAAGCTCTTTCCCTTGCAAGGTAGAGGAGACCCGCTTCCCAAACGTAATACCTCATTGCTAGTTAGAGTCTTCT